CCTCAAAGTGTGATAAAAGCAGCTGAAAGCAGAACTGTAAAACTTTTTTTTTCAGCAAGTTGTAAAAAAATCTAGACATCTGTGTAACAATCCCATTCACTTATTTATGCTACGATTTGAAATCTGCTTTGGAGCATCTGTGTAGCAAAACACTGGTTATTATACTAAGAGCTGTACTGTAGCATCTTTCATTATTCAGGCATAACTAATGAACAAATGAATGATATAGGATTTTTGTTGAAGAATCCCTTAATAGGCTTGTTTTTCTATTAAGAAAATGAACAAAACTGGAAAGAATTTACTGTTTTTAGTTTGCAAATGCAGAATCCTTACTCTGAAACTTCCACAATTCCCTCAATTAGCCTTGTTATAAGCCTTGGATAATCTCACAGAAGTTGCTAGAACACTCTGGACAGTCAATGCAGGCGCAGCTGACAGAAGGCACTATAAGACAACTCCTGATTTGCAGGAGGATTTTTCATAGCTTTTTCTCTCAGATATAAGATTCAGAAAAGCAATTGTAAGTATTCTTAAACTCCTTTGTTTTCAAGAGAAGTTGAGTTTATTTCACATTATTTCCTGAATTCTTTTATGTAAAATAAGTAACACTGAGTATTGTTAAACATTTTGATTTACAGTTAAGAAGCCCTACACAAACAATATTTATTGTAATATTACTGAGGTAACTGTACACATGAATGAGCTGATGTGGAATTAAAGCAAAAGTTTTAAATTAGTTGTTTCTTGTAACTTTTGTCTACTGTCACACCTTCTGATTAATTTGTAAACATATCTAAGACATTGATATAGTATTAGTTTATTCAAGGGTAAAGAAACACAAATACTACATGCAGCAGTGGAATTCATATTCTTAAAAAGATGCTGTGAAAAGGGTGATACCTAAGAGCTACAAATGTGACTTGAGGACTGAAGTAAGTATCTTAGAGCAATGCACAAGTGAACCTATTTGATCAAAAAGATTGATGATGACTTGATTACTGTGCTTCTTTATGGTAAGAAAATACTGCTTAATGGAGACTCTTAATTTCAATGGAGGAAAGCAGAAAAAGTAATTAATTTTTTTTTTTTTTATTAAGTAGACTGAGACCAATTAACTGTTAGCCCTATGAAGCAGTGGAGCCTCTCTGCCATCTTTGAAATGTGAATAGATTGTTTTTGTTTGGTTTGGTTTCTTCTAAATGCAAAGTGCCAAGCTCATAGTGGGGTAAGATCTCTTTAACAGTTACAGAAGATTATGTTAAATGGTCTAATGATAGCTCTGGTTTCAAGGCTACAAAAAGATTCATTATGCTGGAGTTTCACATCTGGTGCTACCTATCAGCAAAAAAAGTTTGGTGCTGGCCTTAGTTGCTTTAAAACATATTGCTCCCTTGGCGTGCTGAGTCTATCAGTTCTGTGATGTATCACATTCCCAACCACTTGCCAAGAATGTAAGTAGTCAACATATGATTCATAAAAGCATCTCCTTAAAAACAAGCATAAGCTGAAGCACCATTAAGTCTTCCTGAAATGGCTGCCTTTAAGTGAATCAAGATACTACAGACATGTAAAAACATTACCTGAATTTTCTTCTCCCCTTTTGTTCAGAAGCTATTCTGGACATCATTAATTTCATCCTGACAACATCAACCATAATGGAACTAGCAGTTTAAACAACAATAATAATAATGGAAAAACCCAAACATATTTTAGAGCCAAGAAGAAATTATTTTATTTTATCATTTTAATTAACTTCAACTTTTAAACCATTTCTCAAAAAGAGTTGATGTTGAAATATGTATTTTAGTGACTGAATACAGTCAGGAATTCAGTCTTCCACAGACTAGTTTACCATAATGAAATGTCAGTCATGGCACATCTATTCCTCTTGACAATCTTGTTGTATTAATCCATATAGACTCATATTTGGTTTTTTTTAATTTATTGAGAGGATACAGCAAATCACAGTGATGTATAACTGAAAAATTTAAATCCTAAAATAGAGTCATATTATTTTCATGAGACAAGTTTGATAAACAATGGAATTAATTTTTAAGTCAGATTTCTTTTTGTTGAATTTCCACATCATTAATTCCCATTAGTTCTGGGCTAGAAAAGGATAGCATAGGAATCTTTTCTTACCCAGTACATAAACAACACGCTCGCATTTTAAGGGAACACAGTGCAAGATTACCTGTTGCCATCCAAAATAAATCCTACAGATAATATCAGGATTAAAACAATGCATACATCAAATCTCAATTTCACCTTATGGACCTGGTCCTTTGGGAATACCTGGGACAATTCTAAACATAACAGATTTCTTTTATATATATAAAATACTCATATATATATAGGCATCCATGCACCCTCTTTTTCCTTCAGTGTCAAAGCTTCTCATTAGAGCTTTCCTTTGCTCCTTCAAAAAAGATCTAAATAAGGGATATACAACTAAATCTAGGTGAGAAGACTAAGTAATCCATGGTATGATTGCTTAAGATGTTCCTTTTATTTTTTATGAACACTGCCTGAAATCACAGACTTCATCCTGCAATAGATTTTAAGTGTATGCTTAAATGACATACACAACTAAAGTGAACCATGTCCCCTTACGCTTGCAATTTTCCAATTCTGCAATCCCTATTCAGACAAAACAAATAAGGGTCTAAACTGAAACAAGAAAGATGTAGCATTAAAGGGTAGTGAAACACCAGAGCAAGTAAAAAAGGGAATGTAAGAAAAATCTCCCTATAAGGTAGTTTAAAAAAAAATATTAAGCAAATACCTGGTAAGAATAACATCTATAGTCAAACCCACCTTGCAAGAGGAGCCACAGATTAAAAACCTTCACTTCAAACTTTTTTTTTCTTAATTCTGTGACAAAGTGCAAAGCCAAATAACAAACCAATCCAAAGGTCTCCCAGAATTCCAGATCCTTTGTTAACTGTTTAAAAAGTTGCTAAAACCCAAAACTTACTCTTCCTGAATAATGAAACTGGGATCAGCTAACAGCATTCTCCATCCAACAGTAAATACTGTAACTAAGCAACATCAGAACTCTACTTACTGCTATCATGGTTGAGTACATTTGTTTTGAAATAGTAAAGGAAAATATTAAATATAAAAAATGAGCAAATAAAGCCATTGTTCAATACTTCATCCACTGTAAAACCAGGCAGATATTTACGACTCTAAGAAGAGACAACATAACTCAATCCTAAATTCTGTTCTGCTTAACTGCTTTGCAATGTATCTAACATCTAATTATGCATAATAATGTATCATTGCAACATCTAATATGCACCATACATAATCTGATTTATTCATAGATTTTAAACAGCAGGTGAATAAATCTGCCACGTAAGTTCCATGCTAATGCCTTAATAAGAATATATCTCTGTTGCAGCAGTGTTCAGCATGTATGCTAGTGTTTTATTTAGCAGCAACTTAAGTCGCTGTATAAAACTGAATTTACCTACATAGCATTAGGAGATTCCATTTAGTCTTATCAGCAAAACAATGAAGTGGAAGAAGCATTCCTCTAATATCTGAAGGAAAAGTACATTAAATAATAAACAGAAATTATATGGCATGGAAGGAAAAAAAAGATGGTTCAAGATCAGCATAAGCAGCTTGAATCTGACATGCCAGGAAAGAGAAACCCAGTGCACTGTCCAAAGATTCTGCATCTAAACAAAGTTACAGGTAACCTAGAAACAGCTTCTCGATTCCAAACATGAATCCTGTCTAACTGAGAAGAGCACAACTTAGAAGCTCTAAAATAGAACATATTTCCATTCATAATCCAAGAACTATCATGATCTACTCTTATGCTACTCTGATAAAGTTACTTCTTTGTCACTTAAAAATGGTCTTTAAACCACTGTAGACCAAGAAAGAATATTCTTGATGTGCCCTCAGTCATGCCGTATTTTGCTTCAGTCCCTTGAGCTACTTGGTAGCTTTACTGTATTCAGATTCTGATTGGAGCTCTGAACAGACTGTGGACCAAATTTCCAAGCTCAAAATTTACCCCTGTGCGTATTGTTTGCGAAGACAAGCAGAATCTGCCTTTCTATATCTGCAAGCTACATCTCAGGTTTTCCTTGCATTTAAGGCAATCTCCAGGGTGAAACTGATACTGTAGCTTAATAACTGCTGCTAATCAGGTGTTTTACTTCAGCTGCCTTACTTGGCAGCTAATTCTTCTTTGCTACAGAATGTCCCTAGTGGCCAATGACAGTGATACACAATTTTGGACAAACATAAATCCACAGGAACACAGCAATTGAAAAAACTAAATTAATTTGTCCTGTCTAACCTTAGGACTTCTTTCTAAAGACAGCCAGAATCAACTGAATTCTGGCAATGTCATTCAGAAAACCATGTATTTAAGTGAGGTCAAACTAGAACCCACTTTATAGATTCTGTGTTTCTTCTTCTGTATCCTTTGACTACATCAAATATTGTTTCTGAATTATATGGTCACAATTTCTCATCAGAAAGCCTTTTGATATTGGATTGATACTCCCCCCTACCAACTCCAATGATTAATACCTGTTCTGAGAGAGGCAAATTTGAAAGGTTGTTAAGTCTTTACCTAATTCCTCAGAACATAAAGGGTAGACTTAGTAATATAGTTTTATCTAACATTTGTCCTTAAAAAATAGTATGACTGTTACCAGGCATAATATGGATATACATGTCACTTGAGTGGGAGGAGCTAAAGACTGTCCTCAGTTAGGTTCTACATAACTTCAGTAAGATCTGTGGCACAGCATGGCTATCATCAACTGCTGAATCTAGTCTAGAAACCCCAAATGATGGAAATGAACCCATAGGGATGTACATCCTCATTTTGCTTATGTTGCAAAACAGTGACACCCACTGGCAGCAACTGTTTAAATACTTTATTGTAGCAGCCTGAATCTACTTGATAAGAGCTGCTAAGAAGTTTCCCTTCTGAAAAATTCATCACAGTAACAACCATATAAACTTACCTGTTGAGTCAGCACTACTGCCAGAGTTTTCAGAAATAGCCTTAGTAAGAGCATCTGGAGTAACTGCAACATAACCCTCTGGAGGAAGATCCACTGTGTAAATTCTTCTTGGAAACATAACTGTATCATCATTACCTACAAAACAGAAAATCCAAAGTATCTGGCTCAATATTGCTCTCACTACAGATTTTCTAAAATATTTTCCCAACTACAGCAGTAAGTGATCTTGAAAATCTTTACAGAGGGTCAGGTGTGGAACACTGAAATTACCCTATGACCAACAGAACTGGACCAAATTTCATAGCACCTACAAATAAACAAATATTTTATGGGTTAGTTCTTTACACCAAAAACACTTTTTTTTTCTATTGCATGCAGCAAATCTTCTCCCTTATCTTCAGAAGAAGCTTCCACTTACAGTGATATTTTAAGAGAGACTCTAAGTATTTTTTGCCCCATTCAGCACGAGCAGACATTATTTCTATAAGAATTGCTTCACAAAAGATGGATGGATGGAAGGATGGATGGATACATGCTTATTAGAAAGTGACAGAAGCAACAGAAAAAGCATCATAAAACTGTGGTTTGCCCATTTGCATAGTGCTTAATCACAACCTATGCTTCTCTGAAGGGTGCAAAGATAAAGGAAGTTTGAAAGTCACACTTGACTAAGCCTCAGCAGTGCCTGCCCCAGAGGACTCACCTCCTCATCCTGCTCTACTTCTTTCTGGGGCAGGAGGGGAAGTGCCAGCTTTCCAACTATTTCATTGCATAAGAAACTATTTGTGGTGATGGCAGCAGTCTGTTTTTTGGATGATTTCTTTCCCCTTTGAAAGGTATTTAGAAGTACCTGCAAGAGCAGCAGTAGAAACCTCATTTGTTCACCAGACAAGAAGTGACATCTCTGCTTCATTCACATGAAACCAGACAGTATTTCTGTGCAGAGCAGTAGCAACAGAGATCAACCACAGTGAGAAAAAAGCCCTCCCAGAAGGCCAGGATTTCAGGGTCTCTCCAGATGTTGCCATGTAGTCTTAGATGGCTCATTGTGAAGTCTTTTTAATTTTGGATTGTTGGGTTTTTTTGGTTGTGTTGTTGTTTTGTTGGGTTTTTTAACACTGAGCCAGCTCCGTAAGTCAGACACAGAACTAGCCTTCCCTTCTTGGGGGCAATGTGTCCCATTAAAACACATAGCGAACTGTTAAAATGATATACAATAAAAATATTTCTGGCAGGTGGAGACAATCAACCTCCCTACACCATAGACCTGTTAGAGGATCCCAGTGATCCAAGTTGATCACTGAGGTGCAGCTATGTGCAACTGTGGTTGGACTAATTCCTTAATTTTTAAAATGGGGTTGCATCTGATTGATCCCTAATGAAAATTACTTCTGTATTTCTAATATGGAATTTAACTATGCACTGACATTTCGCAGACAGACTACTTCAAACACAATAAAGTACATTTCTGAACATTCAAAGTACTTTGGAAAACACCACCATTGTTTTCATCATGAGGGAATAAATTTGCTTTGAAAATACAATTGAATAATACTGTTTTTTCCTTGAATGCTCCAGAAAGTTTCCAGTATTGATGATACTTACTTTGAAGGATAATAAAGATAAATAAATAAATAAATAAATAATACAGAAAGATGAAGCGCATGCAACTTGGAAAAATCCATTAGAAATTAACATGAGATAACTCTTCAGCAGATCCTTTCCATGTAGATGATGCCAAATCATTGAATTGGCAGTACTTGCATTGACTTTTTTTTCCCTCGATCAAGGTTGATTAATGCTAAGTTCTAATGAGTGCCAGTTTAAAATTATAAGGATGTATGAATGTTTAAGTTATTCCCTTCTGAAGGATTTCAAGTTTGACCTTTTTTCCATTTTTATTTAGGTTTTGTAAAACAAAGATGAACAGGAAAACATTAAACTTGATATACATATGTCTTGAAAAATTCCAATCTTTTAATATTATAAGCAGTAACTATATTGGGATAATAACCTCTCAAACAATATAGTTACACATAACAGAATTTGAGGGATCATCTGTAACACACACATCTACAAGGAAGAACAGTTACAATTCCTTTGATGGAAATGAATGATGACTCAAGACTATATTTTTTAATTTTACCTCTTTAAATGTGAGTCTCCAAATTACATATTTATTCATACCAGATGCATCTTTAAGAAGTTTCCAAGCTCATAAATCAAGAATTAGTCTTTGTGAATCCTGTGCAAGTGTGTCAAACCAAACTGCTACCATATCTACATCTGGATTTTTCCAGCCTGTGGCCAGAGTCTCCTTGAGCCAAGAAGAGATGGGCTGGTAGTAAAGTCAACCACTGCTGCAAAGAAAATGGCTGATCTGGTAAAACTATAACATAAAGAGGGTTTTTTGATTAACAAAAGTAATCAGATACTAGAGATATTAAAGAATGCTCTCCTTTTACTAGTTAAAAGTAATGAACCCCATTTCTGAAGTTTCATTTTATGGAAAAAAAAGCCCCAGCAGCTAAAGGTCATTTACAATGCCCCAAAAAGAGAAAATGTTTGTCTTTAAGGCAAACCAAGAATACAGAAGAAATGTTTTGAAACTGTCCTCTATTCACATTCCCCACACAGAGATCCATGGCATGTAACTCAGCTTTGTGCACTGAGCTGAATGAGGAAGGCAGTGTTGAGGGAACTCATCCTCGGAGCAGGGCAAAGCATCTATACCATGCCATTCCCAACATTACATCTCCAAGCATGTCAGTTGCTTGGCCAGCTACGTTATCTCTTGCTATCGTACTACAAGCAAGTATAAGATCTTTTTAGGAGATGAAGGTAAAGCTTCCAGCCATACAGAATTGTCAGTTTCCCAGTCAGTCAGTCAGTCAGTCATCATCTTAGGTAGCCACTGTATTTTGTTAAGTTTGTTTTTCAGCATCTTAATCTATCCCCTACTTGTAGCTCAGAATGGTGGTACATAACACTAGCATGGTTTCCAGACTGCCTGAACACAAAGCATGCTTAGGCACACCTCAGACACAAACATGGCCATAGCACACATCCGTATAGTCTCGGTCCTTTTCTTGCTGTAAGACCAAATCCTGGTCAGAGACAGAATCACTTCCAGATTCTCACTCACTGTCCCCTTGGCAGGCTGAGGCTGCCGTGGCTTACAATGGGGCAAACAGGACTAAGAGAGCTCACAGGTCAACAGCAAAGAAATCACAACTACAAGAATCCTGGCTCTTTTAACTCCCACTCCTACTTCCTCTCACTGCAGGTTATACCCAGTTCCTTCAGCAAGACAGGGAGAAGTACAAGGAGATGGTAGGATCAATTGTTTAAAGTTTTTGCTTCCCCCTCCTTTTCCCCCACAGGGGTTTTCCATGGGCTGCCATCCTTCAGGAACATATACTCAACAACAGAGCACCTTCTCCTCCTCTGACCCTAGGGATTCTGCTGTTGCCACTCATAGTTCCCTCCTGTCTCGGGATTGTTACCTTGTTTCTTAAAGAAGTTTCTCCTAGGGTACCCCTGCCTCAGCTGTGGGCTCAGCTGTGCCCTGTGGTGGGTGGGCTGGAACTGGCTGTGTCCAGCACAGGGCATCCCCAGCCTCCTCTCACAGAAGTCCCACTGCCAGTGACCGACACCAGCACCCTGTACAGTTTTGCAATCAGACAAAAACTCTCCCGGGAAGTGCTTCTCTGCAACTCAGAAAGCTTTGATAACTCACCCAAAGTTAAGTTCCCGTAGGGCAGAACTCATCAGATCAGAGAACCCAAGTCAAGCTAGAAAATCCTGCAGCTCCCCCACCAAACAACTGTAAATTGGCCCAATCTTAACGGGATTGTGATTTTTTTCTACAAAATTACCCCTTGCAAACACTCAGCTATCACCTTCCCGAACAGATGGAAAGAGTTCATCCCCAAAAATAAGTCTTTATAGAAAAGCACAGTGTGCTTCTCTTCCTGGTTCTGGCCAGGACAGTTAATTATTTTTTATAGCAGCCAGGTGCAATGGTCACAGCCACTGAGGAGGCTGAGCTCACTGGAGTACTTGATCCAGGAGTTCTGGGCTGCCCCACGCTGTGCCCAAAGGACATGGCCAAGACATCAGTGTTACTCAGTACCACTTTACATCACGAAGGCTGGGGAAAAGGGAGTCTTGCTTCCAAGAAGAAAGGTGCTCCTTTCCAGTCACAGGGAAAATATCAGGCAGAGGAGCTGTCTGTCATTGTTTTTCAGAGTCCCCAGCTTGGTGAACATTTTGCATGTAAATCATCCTCTCTTTGTACATTATTGTTATTAGCATTGTTGCTGTTACTGTTTGTTTTGTATTGCTGCTTCCAGTAAACTTCTGTTCTTGACCTATGATCTATGATCTATCTCTGCCTTTTGTTTCCCAGTGGAGAAGGGGAAGGGAGCATCTGGTGGCTTTCATTTTAGTGGGAGTACTAAATTTGAGAGTAATTCCTAAATCATCATACACAGGAAATGAGGAATTGATGCTGAATCAAATACAAGGTCTGAGTAGTTCAGTGTGGTACCCTCTACAAAAGCCATTATTGGTAGTAGGCATTTTCTGTGCAGTGTTACAGTAGATGTGACCAGGACAAAAAATAAGGCTTGAATGAGGTCCTTTATTTCCCTTAGAAAAATTGTATTCAAGTATGTTTTTACTTATTATGTAAGCTAGAATATGACTCTGTTATAGCTCTTCCTCATTTTTTATTGTATACAAGTGAGACTATGACCCCAAAACTCTGACAATTCCCAAGGAACATATACACCTCATTATCTGTACACAATAACTTTCCCTTCATTGACTAGCAAGACAAGCATCTATAAAGACAGGAGACAAATCCTGGGCAAGAGTTGTCTCCTTCAAAAACCTTCATAAGCTAAAGTGTACCAAAGGTGATATCAGTGGTTACCTGTACACACCTTGAGTGTCCTCCTGAACGATGGTACTGGAAAATACTTTTCCTGTTGATGAATGTGAAGAAATGTCCTTCAACAGCATGAACAAATTCAGTGAACCTAAATACCACCCATTCCCCAATGTATACTCATTTTTGTTCAGATAATATCCAAGTTCCTGGACATCAAGCTATTTCAGTCTGCCATGAT